TTTTGAGTTCCAAAAGGATCGTAGTCTGTCAAAGTCTATGCTAGAGTTTTGAGCTTTGCAAAGTAGCTTCGAACATGACCTTTACAATGCAAGTTAACAATTTTCAATGTGAAATTTTCACATACATTTTGACCATTCCGTAAATAATATTTATATTAAGTAAACGCAAAAATGTCTGAATTATTTTTTTTTTTAAAAATGTATTATAAAAGAGTTAATATCAAAAATAAAAAAACATGTGTATTCAGTTAAAATATTCACATTACAGAACAAAAAAGTACAGTATGATAGACATCACTGATGATATAACTTACATTTTGTTATTGAATTATCTCCTATGAATTTATTTTGAATTAATTATATGCGTTCATATATTTCTTTATAGTTTAACACTCGCTATCAGTTCTAATCAAGCTTTCTTTATGGCTAGCACCTCGTCAAATATATGTTTTACAGTTGTGTACTCTTTTTTCCAGTGTCTGCGTCCGACCTTTTGTGATACATTGAATGAGTTTCTTTTTCTTTTCTTTTTTTTTGCTCTTCTAGGTCATTAACTCAAAACTGTTTCAAGCCTGTGGTGGTGTAGGTAGTTTTCACTCCGGGTCATAGCAATAAGCTACATTGAATTAACCCGGGGAAAGTAAAGCCACTGCATCAGTCCTCGTTGGCTGTCAAGCAGTTTATCAGTACTAGTTGTCTTGACAATTGCAAGGAACAGATTACTTCAGTTTATGTCAGAGCGAATGATCTTGGAAAAGATTGATTTCATGATCAATCACAATGAAAATGACCTTCAAGTTTCAAAATTATTGAATATATATCCCAGTTTGCATAGTTACAATATAAAAGCACATCTAAGATATATACATTTGTAATAATAAAAAGTCACGAAAACATGTGACGGTAACACTGTATGTACGTGTAAATGTCAAAATAATTTTGCGTATCAATGATGACCTTGAATAATACAAGAATGAAATCTATTTAAATGTGTAGCTTGTCTTGTCTTGGACTAATTACATACACTACTGCTTTGTTCTTTAATATATTTTTGTCAATTATCTTATTGATGTGAATTTTGATTGATCAATTTGTTGTCAGTGACACGCGTTTTGTGTAAATATCAGTGATAATGGGTCATACAAATTATTTCATATTTTCTGCCATAAAATTGCAAGAACACCATGCAGATTTAACGGATATTCCACATGGTCTAGACTTGTTTATTTTTAGGAAAGTTTTGTTGATACTTTTTTGATTATTTATTTCTTGTAGATGAATTATGTAATTGGAGAAAATTCTTAGTAAAGAAATAAAAAATTCAATAATTCACATTTTATATTTATGTGGAATTTACCAGACCTTTCTGTTATCAATTTATAGAGAGTGGCTATCATTTTTCACAAACAGCGTTTAATTTTACCTGAGTTATGATTATATGTATGTTTCAAAGATTCAAATTAAATTAACTAACTTGCAGTATGTTTTCACATTGAAGCAAAGTAAAAATATTTTTGATAGAATTGTTTTAAATTTTGCCAAATTTCTAAAAATGTAACGAAACTAATTTGAATTCAAAATATCGGTATGCCTTATTTTGAGTTAATTGCTCCTGAAAGTGACCTAGGAGTGAAACATTCAATTTCTGGTACAGATAAATAAAAAAAGAACATTTAGCAGTAAACCCATTGTTTTTTGTTGTTTTTTGTTTTTGTTTTTTTTTTTCAATATTTGTTTTGTTTCTAGCATGATTCTCTTTCATCATGCAAAGTTTAAGAAAATTTTAACCGCTGGTTTGTTTCTTCTTTGCTTATGTAATGTTATTACTTAAATGTACAATAATAGGCCTTATACCTTAAAATATTTCTCTTAATACTTGTCTAAAAAGATAAAAAAGAAAAACAACATTAACAATAACAAAATACGCTTGAAAAAAAACTAAGTGCAGGGAAATTATCTCTGAGTCTAAATTAATTCAATTTATTACATTTACTTATAATATCTTGAGGAACAAATTGAATAAAAAAAACAAGAACATAAGTGTTCCCCTAACTGTTTAAACATACCTAAATATGACAAAATTACAATGTTAATAATCTGACTTATTTCCGGATTTATCTTTTTTCTGCCCGACGAGGAACAGCGGATTCCAAAAACTAGAAAATTATGAAATTATTTTCTATATTCAAAGCTGGTGAATCCTGCAACATCATCATCAAGTGCCTCAATGACAACTTTTCTTCTCTGCCTTACTAGCGTCCTCTCCACTTCAAATGTGGCGTTTTGTACTTCTTTGTCGTTTGCAAGAACCTACAGAAATGAATATAATTGATTTGGCTCTCTAAAATAACGTTAAAGGTCCTTTGCCACCATCTTAAAATGTGATCGTGTAAAACAAACTAAATAGTTATTGTTAGCAAAATTACAATGAAAGTATCGATACTGCTCGAATGACGACATATCCCAATCTAAATACCTTCTTTCTGAAAACCTGTCTTAAAGAAGATTGTCTTTTGCCAGGCATATTCTTAACTGCAATGGCGTCATTTGGGACAACTGCTTAAGATGCAAGTAGGTGCATAGAAATAAATAAGAAAAATATCCTACATTGGAAACCCTGAACTAAAGGCAATAATAGCATAATTTTCATTTACGCTTTGATCTGATATCCCAATATTATAAAGAGGCGTCCTGCCACCTCTGACATAATACAATTAATCTCGATATCACAAACATATTGGTAATTCTTTGTTGCCTCCACAATTGGAAAATGGTATTCAACATTATTTTGCAGAAACCAAACATTCATTTTTAATCAACATATTTTTACATAAATATTGTTTAAAATGATGTCGTTTATTTCAGACAGTTTTGAATGAAAGAGTTTTCATGGAATTAGCTGGTGAAACTAGCGAGTGTTACAAATTAAGTTTGAAGAAGATAAGAAAAAATGATAAATGCTCGGATATGGTACACAGGTTCGAAATAGCATCAAGGAATCGAACTCTATCATTATAGAAGAGATAATAAAAAAATGGAAGTCATGGTAATTCTCGTTGGTGCAACATTTGATTGTTTCTTTCTTAGAAAAATAATGGTTGAAAGACCTACATTCTGTTCGGCGTCGTTTATATTGTTTCGGTTGCAAGTACCTTACACAAAAGAGAAATTAACATAATCAAGTAAAAACGGTTAAGCTTGGCTTGCTTTCTTATCCATGAAATTGTTCGCATGTATACGTATAAAATAAGAATATAAATGAACACAGCGATAATTTTGCATGTCGAAATGTTTGAAAATATTGTTTCAACCAAAAATAGGCTTGTGTTATTATTATAGTAAATTGCAATTTATTAATATCAAATTCATTAAGAATGAGAAATACATTATTTGCAGTTAAATTTGTCGTCTACAGGAGAAAATATGAAATAAATTTTGTGAATTTTCATGTTCTCAATGTAATCAACTTACCTTTATTTGTTTGTCTTTAATAACGAATGAAAACTTGCATTCAAACAATGGACACATGGCTTGCCATTCGAAAGGGATTTCAAAGTAATTCTTTACAGGGTAAAAGAAGTACAATTGCGGTTTTCTCTCTTGAACGCTTAAGAATAAAATAAATTGTTTTGAAGCAGAATAAAATTAGTAAATTTCACTGTCTTTATGTAAAGTTCGTAGTTGTTGCCGAATTGTATCCCCTACACAAACAAACAAATATATAAAACATGGGTAGAACATTTTAAGTTAATAGTGAGAATTAAACAAAATCCTTTGTTAATGAGTTAGATAAAGACATAAAAAAACGCACAACAACCACCTTAAGATGAATCAAATAAACTGACACCTGAACTAGAAACCTTAACATAAGAATAAAGTCATCCGTATGAGTTTTATAGAGATATTTTACTTTTTTCCATTTTATGGTCGTTAGAATCAATATTTTCAAAGATGTTCATGATGAACTTATAGATAGAGTATAAAATAAAATATATGTAGATGTAGTATAAAAAGCGTGTGTCTGACGAATAAACAGAATATAGGAAACGCATACAAGAGCATATGTGCATTTTATCAAACACAATTACGTAACAAGTGTTTCTTACTTCAATAATAAATAGAATATTACCCAATCATGATTTTGTAATCATCAACTCTTATATTGTCATAGGTTAACCAGAAATAGCTTAAAACAAGATAAAACAATAATAGTAAAACACGATTTTATAAATATAATTGTATAAATAACAATGTGTTGCCATTCAATTTATTTATGATCAAAAACGAGAGCTTTTTCATTTTAAATTACTATTTTATTATGACTGAAAATATAAAGACAAAATTGAAAACATGGTAAAGGTTTAATTCAACAAAAATAAACCCATTGACTGTCTTTTTTATCAAATATATGTTATTAAAATAATAAAACTCGAATTTTAAACGTATAAAACTACAATCAGCCCTTATTAAGTGAGTGTCCCTATCAGTCTTGAAAATCTTATACAGTCTACGTGCATAGGGAAATAAATAGCGTAATGTTTTAAGTGAAACACGTACAGCATACAGTAATATAATTAATTAAAACATTTCAACAGATTAATAAATATATTTCTTAGAATTCAAAATCATTTGCCGACCAATGAAATCACTCCAATTTACAAAACAATGCTCTTCTCAATCGTACTTACAGGCAAATTGTGTCACTAGCACATGCTTATTAACTGCTTGGAACGAAGAACGTATGGTTACACTGAATATAGTTGCCCCGCCTTATTTTGACGACGTGATATTGTTTAAACTACGGTCAACAGTTCGTCATTCGTTGGTTGCGGGGTCGTTTTTTAATCTAAGACAAACATTTAGGTCCTTTTGAACAGCTAATAGTGCGAGTATGGTAATTCCTTGTACAAAATACTCCATTTTGTATCGCAAATAAAAAACATCGTGTACACCCTAAATAATTATTGTGCACATATCATTTTAATAAAACAAAAGTCTTACTATTGCGAAGGTGGCTTCCGAACAAAACTGAAGTCCAGCCTAGACCACATTGTGAGGGGTAAGTACAGTAGGTTTACCTTACGATCAATAGGATTTATTAGATCAGTTGAAATCTTTAAAAAAAAACATATGGTTATAAAATCTATTATCGATTTTAATCCGAACAAAGTTAAAATGATTACTTTTTCCTAACATATATTTTGAAAGCAATAATTAAATGAACGTACTTATTCTGATTCAGTGTTTAAAATTTGAAAAACTGTTGTAAATGACATCAATGTGGTATATAACATAGGGTTAACGCACCTTTATTCGTGCGTTAATGTACATTGCACATTCAAAAGTGCACTGACGCTATTATTGCATAAAAACAATAAAAACGTATGTCCAGATCGGCTATTCTTTTGGGGTTTTTTTATCTTTATGCAGAATGCACTGCTTGTTCAAGTGCGACATCATTCAAATCACTGCAAAATCACTTCCAAAATAGTTTCTTGATAAAAAATACAGACAAAAAAAACGCGAAATCATCGAATTAAAATTATACTTTTATGCAATAATAGCAGTAATGCACCGTTGTTTATGTATTAAAATCTAAATCCCTCACCCTGTTCGATCGGACACTAGATGCTTCCTCGTGCATCTGCAGATGTAAGTGCACGAGAAAAAAATGTTGTGACCCTCTGTGTTTACTTTACCTCTTAGAATATTTTACTTTCAGCATAACAACAGACACCTGTTATGATGCGCCATATATTTTCTTGCAAAAACATTGCGAAGGCAGTCATATATTAACGGAAGACAATGCATGCATTAACAAATAGATTCTCGTGACCACGGGCCGTTTTGCACATTTTTGATATGTGTGAATCAGAGGGCGATGTAAAAACAGCTTAATGGGCCGGTAGTTTTATTATCAAAACTTAAATGTCAAGTGACTGTTTAGTCATGATACAGAAACTACCGGGACCGTCATTGAAGTGAGCTTTTTCCACATGGCACCATGACTTGCATACTAGTATTAACAACTTTCAAAAAAGCCGTCCGTTAATGCTTGTCATCTGCTCTATTTAATAATGCCTATATGAAGAGTAATATTGTCAATGATTTTAAAGACTGACTTTTTCATAGTATCGTGAAACGAATAAAAATTTTCATCTAAAGATAGAAATTGTCATTTTTGAACGTATATCTCAAGAGATATTTCAAGACATAAATAAAATATATACCGCTGGTTGAAACTCTATTTTAAAATACACCTTTTCGATGTATTCATATCCTGGTGCAACAGTCGTATATTCATCTGTCAATTTCTCGCATTTTCCTGTCTGATCAGATATTCGTGCACCAGTAACATTGTTCTGAAGGTCAAAAGATAATTTATACAATATTTCAAATATTAATTTATATTTTATCCTAGTGGCGGCGTGGCCGGGTGATTAACACGTCGGACTAGTAAATCTGACGAACAAGTAAAATTTGACAAATAAAACTAGTAATTGAAAGATTACTGGCCGTTTTGGGTTTAAACCCAGTCAGGGCACTTTGTAGTGGTATTGGGCGGTTCAAGGAACTGATTCAAAAGTAAAAACAGCTTACAGCTTACTACACAATCGAACTACATGTTTAATAAATTCTAAGAAAATAAACAAGAAGTATCAAGAAAGATCCCCGGCCGAAGTAAAACTTGTTAACTTGCATTCTATGTTTTCGACACATAAAACAATGCTTGAATAACAATGACATAATTATTTATTGTATGTAAGAAAAAAAATCTGTTTTGTAAACATAGAAATTAAATTATAAGCATACTGATATTGATGTCTAAAGTAGGGCAGTAGTGATTTAGATGTCCCTATTACTTTTGTTTTTGCATTTGACTTTACAATTTTTGTAATTATATGCACTATTGACAGTATTATATTAATAATCAGACATGAAATATTGCAAATAAAATAAACGAATAATGGATTACATAAAGTCAACAAATGTTTCATCTTTAATTGTGATAAAAAAGAAAATAATAATACACGGTAAAACCTTTGTTAGCCTGCCTTGGCCTCATAAACAAAAACAATTGTAAAACAAGACTTAAAGTGATTCATAACCTCATCATCAACATAAATTGAGTGAAAGTTGGGTGTCTGAAGCCACAATTACAAAACGAATACGAAAAACACTGAATATCCGAAAAAATCAATAAGTAACTTTCCTTATGTAAAAAAAATGTTGTTACAATTGACAGAGTAATCGATGGGGTTATTTATCTTGAAAAATAAAAGATTGTAGTATGAATGTGTTTCTAAACAACCTGTCGTGTTTCGGTTAATGAACAAAATTTCTAACACCAACATCTACACAGTCAGTAGGTAATTTAGATTTATAAATACTTGATTAAAATGCAAAAATAAATGCAAATTATAAACATTATATCAATAAAACATAACATATTGAAATTTAGGATATCTTAAAAGTTCGTATTTTTGTTGTGTTTTCGATATTTTCATGTACATAAATAAACTAGCAGGATTGTTGGTCTCAGTAAGTTATTGTGTAAGTTCTCAAGAAAATTAACTGTTCACTAGACAATGCAATGAGGTTTAAACGAGGTGTAAAATGGTATATAGGAAGTAGTATGTTCAAACAGAACTTAAATATTTGCTCAGTTTAACTAAAAAGTTAAAGATCTACCTTGCACATTTTATTATACAACTACCCTTTACATTTTATTATATAATTGCAAGAACTATCCTTTGCATTAAAATTTAGAACTAGGAAGAACTATAATTTGCATTTTATGTTAAAATTGCCAATAATATTTCCAGATTTCAGTTTGTAGTTTCAAAATGACCAATACAATATTTTTTATATTTAGTTCTTCTCGGTTAATTTTGCAGGAAGTCAAACTGATTTTAGACAGCATTTGTCTTGCCAGCTTAAATGCTTATTTTCACGGAGAGCACTTGAATCTTTCCCTAACTAAAGAAAGCCATCGTGTTAATCTTAGTGTATATTTAACTACTTACCATTTAGGGAATTAATTAATTAATTACCAAAAATTAAAATTCATCAAACTTTGCCAGCCATATGAATTTTGATAATTGACTTATTCTATTCTGTCATTTTGATCATAACAAATACATATGTTGAAATAAAACAAAACGATATTTCACATCATTGATATGCTGTACTCCGTTCTGATCACAAAATGGTTTATCTCAATATTTCAGTGGTGTGATACGCGACTTTTTATTGAGAGTCAAAATCCCATATCAAATCTTTAATGTTATTGAAATTACAAAGTTCTGTTAAAAATGTAGTGTGATATAAAAAGGTTATTAAAAATGGTTGAGAACAATATGATTCTAGTGGGCTCGTAAACATTTTCAAAACCTATCTATATCAGCATTGACTTTCGCCTCGTCAAATAGAGGTTTGACAGCTCTGAACTCCTTCGATCAAATTCAATATTGTACTTATATCAACTTATAATAACTTTATAATACAATGTATTACACAATACTCATTGATACTATATCTTAAGGTCAAACTGGAGATAAGTTCAGATAACAGTATGTTTTAACTCCTTTGGTGTTATGCTTGATATACAATGTTGTTTGACAAGAATCTTTATAAGTACAAATAATTTGCTTTTGTGTTTGAACAATTTATGATAAATCACTATTTCCCAATGTTTTTTTTTAAATAAACGTTTTATATTTGCTCCAACGAAGGAAAAATTGCAAAATTGTAAATGATCACTACTCTTTAATCTTTTAATGTGTTTGACTTAGACAACAAATGAGTCATGTTTTACCCTTACCATCTTTAAATCTGGATAAAGTGATTTATAACTTTCATGGGACATTTTAAAATATATAGTGAGTGAATACAGGCATTTAACGATGTGTCGTGGTCGCATCTGTAGAACCAGGTGCTGACAGAAGGCTAAGAATAAATGAATGTAACAACAAGATTTGTTGTTAAAAAATGACAAATTACCCTAATCAGAATGCCTGGATATCACCATGAATGTACTTGTATGAAACTAGACCTTAAAAGTCGCAGCTTGGCCTTGATTTTAAACAAACTTTAAAGCTACCAACAAGAATGAACTTGATTATTTGGCTGTTGAACTAAAATTTGTTCCCTGTATATCATCTTAACAAATTTACGCATATTTAATTATTTCATAGTCAATCCATAAACAACAAAACTATACAAAGACATTGACCATTGAACAGGTGAAAATAAATATAAGAAAAAGATTATAAAATACAAACTCCCATAGAAATATAGATTGCTTTTACGTGAATAATGCATTTATTTTTTTATTGAAATAGCCGAGATGTATAATTTAATGTAATACTTACAATGTGTAGAATTTCCATTGCACATTTACGTATGTCCGGGTGGTTACGAGGTACTTGAAAAATGGCCGTCTGAATTTTAATACCATTTGCAAAGATAATGTTGTAGAATATTATGTAAACAAACAGCAAAATGAGATTTACATCCATGACTCGAACGAGATCTCAAAGCAGAATGAATTCTCTCTCCGATCCTATTTGCAATGCATTCAAAGAGACATGAGACATGTGTATTATTATGACATCATACATTGTTAACACGCCTTCTTTACCAGACAAAGCTCAAGACATTGGCTACAGCCTTAGGAATTGTTTATTCATGATTTGCTTTTAGCAACATGTTTATGGTTTATGTATACATATGAAAGATTTTAAATCTCGGAATAACTTAGATGAAGATACGACTGAATTGCTTTGATATCCATATAAGCTTTACACCATTAGGGCATCCGTTGTCTTATATAGATATTTATATATGGTAAATATAAAGGGAAATGAAGTGCGCTCTTTTTTCCTTTGGTCATTGGCAGAAATGTGAACATCGAAACTTATCGTAATATCATACTTGTCATACTGAAGCATAAAAATTAATTTTAAATAGTTTATAAATTAAGTGATTTTACTCTAAATTCAAACTTTATTTGTGATTCTGCAGATTTCAGCAATTAGGTCTTAATCACAGATATCTAGAAAACATAACCAGTGAAAAACAAAAGTTTTGAATTATTTCCTCTTTATTTGATTCATTATTATTATTATTATGTCTTCAATATTAATATAAATGTTTTTGATTGAATATCTTTTAATTGGAAGATCTATCCATTTTTCGCATGAGAAAATTGATTAAGAATGGTTTAAATAATTAGATGCTAAAGGCAAAACCTCCTTCAGAAGAGAAATCATTTTCAGTGGGGATTCCGAGTTAAGGTAGGGCGTGAGTTCAAACCCTACTGGGGCAGTTTGTAAATTATGTGTTATTTTTAGTTTTAAATGAGTATAGATAAGTAGTTTTACAGCTTTATATTTCCAAATCAGGATGGTATAACTCAAATTTTTACATTTGTACGGTAAAACAGTACCTAGATAATTATTATATGAAGATACAATGATGCCCAATTGTTTGGTGAAAAATATGACCCTTTTTGCTGAGCCGACATTTTCTATTTTATAACATCTGACAAATACCTGTTCAATCAATTAATATGCTTGTCTTTGGTTTTGTTTGTCTTAATTTCAAAAATTTAGTTCTACTCCCCTTTAACTGATGAAAACTTATTTTCTCCCTCACATTCGTCCGAAAATAAAACAATTATTTGCTATACTTGACTAGGGAAAACAAAGACGATATCGGGTTAGAAGGTGGTTTGCTACTTTATAATCTTTCAAAGTTGTGAAGCATTTTCTCATAACAATACATGAGTAATAAAGTATTTTATCATCTTATAAAAACAAAATATATCGTCAAAGACAAATTTTTAATCAACATAATTATAAAAAATACTTGTTTGTTACAACATGAAGCAACAACGTCACTTGTTAAGACCTTGAATTAACTGAACCAAAGTAATGTACTCGTACAGTAGCAAACCTCGAATGAACAATTTCGCTGCGGAATCCTCACGAGAAAAACGAGAACTATTTATACCAAATACTGCAAAGCAAAAACTACAAAGTACCGAAACCAATTATTAATAGTTGTTGCTTTTCTATTTATCTGATTGAAAGGTTTAACATAAATCGTCAATATTTTTCCAAACAAGATGGTTAACCTTTTGTTGTTGTTTTTTGTGGGGTTTTTTTGTATTTGTCAAGAATATGATGAAGTCTAATAAGGTGAAGGTTTATATGCATTTTAAAATATTGTCAATTAAAACATCTACCTAAAAGAGAAAAAATCAAAATGTATTTCAGTCGTTTAGAGTAATCATTATTCTTAAATTACACTTAGAATATTTATATAAGAAGTTTTTCAATATATTTTCATTAAAAAAATATATATACTTTTGAGCGGGGTTTATAAATGATCTGAAGAATTACCTATTTATATATTTGTGACATAGATTTATTTGACGTCAATCAAAATGACATATACGAGTTCCAAAATAAAAAGCCAATACATGTATATCTGATCGACGGTACGGTGCAGAACTTACAGCGGACTTTACAAGTTTGCTTCTTTAAAAAGAAGTATGCGAGAGATATTTTTGCTGCTGTGGAGGATTTGTTTAATTCGAAAATATTTGGGGATATTATATGGCATTTAACAAAATAGAATTCATTATATATATATATAGCAATGAAAGTTTGTTTTACACTTCATCTTTTTTAATGTTTTGAAAGATTATATGCTAGAGAAATGGACTTTTTTCTTGGCGCATTAGGGATACTTTTTCTACAAAGGGGACTAAATCTAAATTAAATGATATATATCATTTATTTTAAATTCAGTTCAGTTCCCCTATGTAGAAAAAGTATTATATATTTAAAGTAGTATCAAAATAAAAGTTTCTTTAAAGGTCAATAGGCAAATTTTCGGTTACTGTTTTGTTAAGTATACGAAAACATTTCCTCTACACTTTCCAAAACGGGTATAAATTATGTTAATCAAACAATTTTAAGTCCAGGGTTTACATAAAAAATGTTTATATCATTTGATTGGAATAAACAGTATAAACTGTTATATACTGTTATATTGTTTTACTGTTATATACTGTTTATTGGAATAAACAGTATATAAAGCTGCATGCCTCCAACCACAATATTAGAAGAAAATCAAACTTGAGGTAAAATTTGTGCCATATTTGCGCCAAAAAATCTTCATTGCGTTATTTAGTCACACGGTTCACTCGGTCATATAATAGTGCATGGTGATATTGTAGCTATAATGTTCACTGTTACTATTTATCGGAACATGAAATAGTAAAACGTTATTCAGAAAACAGTACGTAAATCGATTTATACAGTTTAAAAGATTAAACGGAATGAAACATCCACGTAGTATTCTATGTACATGTAGCGATTTGTTCACTTCGATGTTAAATTTTCGTTAAAGCACGTAATATAAATCCGTGGTTAAAGTAAAGCCGTATTTTGAAACGGGGCATGCGCAAAACAATTTTTGTAGACTTCTCCTTATGATTTTACGCTTTAAAAGGGGGTTCATTCACTACAATCAGATACGCAAAAATGGATGCCGCCAGCAATCAGTCTGAACACTATGGAGAGGTCTGATGACCTCTCCAATTATTTGTGATACTATTATTTAATGATAATTATGTTCCTGGTTTTACTCTCGGTGATAGAGCTTTTAATGGTTATAGGATCTCTGTAAATCCAGTTACTGTCGAATTTCTAACGGTCAGCTAAATCATGACTATGGTATTGGCAAGTTAATATTTACACCAGGGCAATAAGCATGTCTAATTAAAGGGACTCCACTGAGGTTTTTTGAAATGATGGGACTGAAAATATTTTTTCCAGATAAATGTACCATTTGATGTAGGTTTAGGCCACTAATCTATGTGCAAAATTTCAGATCATTCGTGCACTTCGTTTTTCCAGAATAATTATTCAAATTGTAAAAAAATGACCAAAATGAAAAGCGTTTAAACGCTTTTCACTCAAATCGGGCTAAGAAAAGCATAAAAATACAATTTTCATTTTATTTCAAATTATATTTCTTAACTACCTTACATATATTTCTGTTTAAAGAGTCCCAGCTCTTTTATGTAAGAAACTCAAATGTTATGTTTTTAGGCTTTTAACCCTCAGTGGAGTCCCTTTAATATGATGAATTAGGATGTTATACTTTACACATTTCGAGATATGTTAAAATCCATTGATTTAGTTTTAATATAATACAAGTTAATACATGTATTCAAAACTTGTAATATGTATAAGATATGTCATATAAAATGAGTCCATCATGTAATAAAATGTGTGAAAATTGTGATAGTTACGTTTTTGGAAGTTAAACAAAATCTTTAGATTTAAAAAAGTATTTTATAATAAAGCTTAAAATGTCGTCTCATTCATTACGTATTCGGTCAGGTAGGTATTGAATAAATAGATTACCCAGAAATGAACGATTTGCCTTATTTGTAATTGATGAATTTTTATTTTGATGGTGTATACATACATGTACGTTTTAATGATATCCGATAGTTGTGTATTACTCGATGCTCTAATGTTAGACTAGACATGTTTATGTAACTTGAATTATTAATTGCAAGGGAAATGATATACTTTGTTATTTAGTAAAATTGCCTTTAATTGCAGAATTGAAATACAGAATAATAGTTTATAATTCTTTCCATTATCTTCCCATCAAATTAAAAAAAAGCAAGTAAAACAAATTCAATGACTCTGAAATCATATGAGCCGTGTCATGACAAAACCAACGTAATGGGTTTGCGACCAGCATGGATCCAGACCAGCCTGCGCATCCGCGCAGTCTGATCAGGATCCATGCTGTTCGCTATCATTTTTTCTACTTGTAAAAGAGTTGGTATAAGCGAACAGCATGGATCCTGATCAGACTGCGCGGATCTGGATCCATGCTGGTCGCAAAAGCATTATGTTGGTTTTGTCGTGACGCGGCTCATATATAGGAGATGGATTCTCAAACGATGCAGTTTTCCATTAAGAGACAAATCCAGCTGTGAAGCTCTTCATAAAAATACATTCGATATTTTTAAGTAATTGTATTCCCTGTAAAAAAAAATGAAATATAAACAAGAGGGCCATGATTGCCCTGAGGTCGCTCACCTGTATATAGGCCCCCCAACCCCCGCCAATTTTTACCCAAGGGCTTTTATTTGTTTATTTGAACAGACTTGGTAGACACACATAAAAAGATGTTTCATGCTAAACATCTAAGTTCTAGCTCATTGGCATTTTTAAAAGAAGATTTTTAAAGTTTTTACTATACACATATAGTTAAAAACAATGTCACCCCTAGGGCAGGGCCAGTTTTGACCCCCGGGCGTTTAACAAACTTTGTAGATATTTACTTAAAGATGTTTCATGCTTAATATCTAAACTCTAGCTATTTGGGTTTTTCCAAAGAAGATTTTTAAGTTTTTGCTATACACATATAAGGAAAATCAATGACCCCCCCCCCCCCCGGGCGGGGCCAGTTTTGACCCCAGGGCTTTTATTTGAACAAACTTGGTAGACATTCACTAGAAGATGTTTCATGCCAAATATCTAAGCTCTAGCTCTTACGGTTCTTTAAAAGAAGATTTTTTAAGTTTTTACTATATGCATATAGGGAAAATCAATGACCCCCAGGGGCGGGGCCAATTTTGACCCCAGGGCTTTTATTTGAACAAACTTGGTAGACACTCACTAGAAGATGTTTCATGCCAAATATCTAAGCTCTAGCTCTCATGGTTTTTTAAAAGAAGATATTTAAAGTTTTTTCTTTCGGTTGCCATGGCAACCAGAGTTCTGCATGGAATTAAATTCTTTGAACAATTTTTAAAGGTGACCACCAAAGGAACATTCCTGTGAAGTTTGGATGAAATTGGCTCAGTGGTTTATGAGGAGATGTCATTTAAAGCAAAAGTTTACGGACGGACGACGGACGGACGCCGGACGAAAAGCGATCACAAAAGCTCACCCTGTCACTTTGTGACAGGTGAGCTAAAAATGCAAAGGAGCTTTGCTATATAACTATACTTTTGAGAGTTGCATTTCACTTCTCCTTCATTAATAATATATCCAGCAATGAACTTCCAATATGATATTTCTATTTCTTTTTTTTTTGAGTTAAAAGTTTTCCTAGACAAAAAAAATATGAAATATTCCGAGGAGTAACAATGTTGCAAAAGTAAGTTACAATTCTTGCATAATTTGAGACATAATCAAATATGAAGTTCAGTTTTCTAACTGAAATAGTTTAATGCTCCGACCAAATTGCTACAGGTGAACGCTTGATGGACAAATCTATATTCCCTGGCATTTGACGTGGGAGAAGTTGAAATGCAAATTCATTTCGAAATTAATTATATGAAGATATGTGAATTATCAAAAATTCCATATTTAAACTTTTATTGCAGTTTAGTATTTACATACTTATACAATATACTCAAAACTATCTCTGGGTTTCATATCTATGGTGAATATTTCTGCCAACATCTTAATTAACACTTAATTTACTAAATAATCTTTACATGATAATAAAGTGTTTAAAATCTTAGAAATGCTTCCCGTAAACAATGTATCATTATGATAGACCATGCTCGAGGGCGGGCCTAAACCAATGAGTATATTCCATTGGCTTTTATATCCTAACCAGTAACAAAACCGTTCAAGATATATAACCATTAATGTTATTTCTTTTGTTCTTTCTACAAACAGTCGTTTTCTATTATGTAATAATAAACACAGAAGACTGAAATGGTATGTAAAATTGAGTTAAAATGGCTTTTAAAATTCTTCATAAAAATGCCCATTAGTAGTCTTTGTTAGACTGAACATGATACACAAGGAAATAATACAACTAGCATTTGAAAATAAGTTATGTAACGCTCGATTTAAATGATAAATTATAAATTTTCCGAAATAAATTTCAAAGAATACGATTGAGTCTAACAATCAGCAGCGCGCAACGAACCATTTTCATTATTGAAGCATGTAATTTCTAAATGTTGGAATCTAAATATTTAACCAGCTCTGTAACCCTGGAATCATTAAGTTTATTTTATATACATGTAGTCTTGTTTATAACTTTAGAAATATATTTTGAAGCTTACATGTATCTGTGGAAGAAAATATTATTTATGATATCCTTAACACCACGAAATGTATAACATTTTCCTTTTTACATAAAATAATAGTGAAGAAAATGTGAAACAAGAAAAAAGTAAATATTGATTGAATCACAAAAACAGTGTTGTTCGTGTTTTTATTTTATATTCACACAAAAAATAATTGCTTGCTTATAACAACTTTTTCTGCATTATGTGGTCATAATATGGACAACCGCATGTGACAGTAACTAAATATATATCAATTTGAAGCGTGTCATTGTTGACACAACATAAAAATATATGTAGACAGATTGTTAACTTGAATGCATGTACTTGGAGCTATATAAAATTTAATAACTTTTTTGTTTTGTTGTTCAAATTTTTTTTAACATTTTCTTGTGGGCCTCTATTGACCTCCATTCGCAAACACAATTGTTAATATTGTGTGGTAGCTGTCATTTTCATCTTTCTGTTGTTTTTTTTTATTGTTTTTTTTTATTAGCAGTAATTTGTTTTTTAAGACAGCTTTAGCTATCATAATATGTACAAGTCGAATAATATGCTAGTAACATAAAATGAGACAAATGGAAAGGTCAGAAATGTCACAATTAATTACATTTATCAACAAAATATCCAAGGTTGAAGTTATATGCACTCGTTTTATAAAAACAAATTGGTTGTACATAATAAAGTACAAATGTACTTTATTAGTGCTTTAGAATATAAAAATAAAAAAACTATAATTCTTGTATGTTTTAAGAAGTAAAATGCGCATTTTTATTCATTTTTTATTAATTGACTTTTTTATTTACAGAAAATGTGACAAAAACATAATTTCAAACAAATTCTCATGTTCTTATCCATTTTGCATTCTTTCTTGAAAATACTTGTCAATGTCAAATGCAAATTCCTTCAGGATATGATATCAGAAATTATATTATCCATCTTTCCATTATGATAGCCGAGATTATGGCATGCATTAAATTCTGTTTTTCAGTGCAAGAATACTTAACAAGCGACATCTGTAAGTACCCTTTCAAATAGAGTTTCAATAAAATGATGTCAAAATGGGAGTCTTTATCATTAAATTTTGATGTCTTTATGTGTATTTAAGTGCATTGTCTGCAGTTGACTTAGTAATTTCTTTCTTCCTGTCTCTTACTTCCAGCAATGTTTTGACTGTAAACCCTTCATAATCTTTCTACATTCATCTTTTGGGAAATAAGTATTTCTTTTTGCAGAACTGGTATTATATATTTTTTTCATCTGGTGAGCTTCATATATAAGGGGTTTTTTCTGCCACATTTTAGGTTTTGTGTTCCTAAATATAAATACTCATCTAAGAACTCTACTTTATAACCATTTACAGACTGCATGGATGTGCAGACAGACATGGCTCTCATAAAAGATGCAAAGGCTAATCACTTCCATTCAACGAAATTGTATTTATGAACTGTATTTTATTGATCGACTGTGAAGTTTAAGTTACTGTCATGTGCAGGACTTTAACACACTTTTACTGGTGAAGAGTAACACTACTTGCCCAAATGTGCATTCTTTATAATATCAGCCAACACTAGAGTAGAAACATAAACCATCAAAGTGCTAGCTTAATAGATACCTTTAACATATTAGAGAATTCCGTCTATTCTGAAATAATACTCATTAAAAGGCATCAAATTCATGTTGTTTTGTGGAAAGCGCTATTAATAACTTTATAATTGTAATGACTCAGTATAAATGCACTTTCTTTGAAGACATAACCTTGCTACTTTACATCATGATGAACAGATGGCATGCTGAACAGATGGCATGCTGAACAGATCTCTCCATCAAGACTACAGCATACATAGCATACATATCACCAGATGTTTCAGTCTTTCAGGATGTTTCCCTTAACTCAACTTATCTAAAGCATCATGGTCAGTTTACACAATCACTTAACATACTGACACTTTTCACACTGGTATATTTGCTCTTCGTAAAGTTAAACAACCTGTTACTAAATCGCTCGGCATCATTTTAATCCTGGAAAATTCTTCCGCTGTTGTATATCTCAATTTGGTTTGAGGATCTGTATACTTCGCCTGCAATAAGGTAAAACGAAACAATTATTTCAAAACATTTTATTTCAAAGCATTTTATTAATTATTTCGTATACAATTCTGTACACTTATTTTTAACATAACTAGTAAAATGTATGATTACTGTATAAAACTCATCAGTTGATCAATGAATCTAAAGTAAATTTGGTTAACACTATGTGTTTCTTTTAACACAAATACCCTCATAATTGCCACATGACATGACTTTGTAGGCCACTGTAATTTATTTGTCAAGGTATGTCAGTACATAAAAATGAAAGTCAACTTTAAAGATATTCCAAGAATGTCTACACTAAATTACATAATTTAAAAATTATGATTAAGGATTTTTAATTAGCAAAAATACTAACATAACATAACTTAATATCATATCATATTATATCTTATGCATACTAAGCCAAATCCAAGGTAAGTTGTGATCCCAAAACCACTATGACCTTGACATAACGACTTTAATGTCAAAATGGGTAATGTTCTGGCCCTACAAAGTTTTACGAATTTAAGCTTATATCTTTAATAGTTATTGATCAGACAAGGAACTGTGACGTTGACCTCTCTCCTCAAAATAAATGGGGTCATCTACTGGCATTGGTTATAATGTCCCTACAACATTGATTATTTTGTTTTAAGAATTTAATTAGGCAAGGATAGCGGAATATACATGTTTACATATAAAAGGACCACCCGGTCTTAAAATGCTCATTATTTTGTAAGTGGTGTCAGACTGAACTCAGTCCATGTGCCTTATGATGTTGATTATGTGCTGCTGTGCTGGTGAAGAGGAACAACATATCTACCCCTCCTGACATTACTACTAGCACACTTAAGGTCTATATACATCCACTCATCATCATTTAAATAATGGCAATACTACTTTATTTTAAATATAATAACAATACATGTATGGTAACTATAATATATTACACTAACAGGCAATCCTGAGATATCCGAGTACTTCATGGCTGGCTTAAAAGAAGGGGGTGCTTCTATCATACCATCTATAACATTAAATTACACCATATATATTATCTATTGTTACGTGGTCCATCAGTTATCAACAATCATACATCAACTAGCAGGCCTCGACACTAACTTTTTTAGCAGGTGGTAAACAGGACCACTAGATTTGAAATTAAGGTGGTCCTTCCAGGAATCAGGTGGTCAATTATTATTATTATTATTATATCATTTACTGCAAATTTAGAAAAATAATATGCTTAAAATTGATGACAAAGATGTATTATTAACCTTAAGAAAACAGATATTTTAGATATATATTTGTTTTCTTATCAGAAATTAAGGACAGCAAGTTAGTAGGTATTCTATCGGGCAGATATTTTTTGTCTCATTCAGAAATACACAACAGGGCTCTTATTTATACTAACTTTTATATTGAAGTGATTTCTCCCTCAACTCAAGTTAGGGAATAGTGAAACTATTTTCTTACTGTTATTCAAATATTCATTGCTGATACGTGGTACGACTTATAATTATGATAATTACATTTATCTTTTATAGATTAACAAATAAAACTAATAAATTATCTTAAAACAAGGAAATATCCAAGGGATAAAAAATGATAACAACGTTTTATATAACTATAGTTTAGCTTATTTTTCTCACTCATTTATTATGAATACAGAATTTTTATCTCCCTGTTGCTTGTGGGTTGATATTTATTTTTGACATTGAGTATTTTTAACCCTTTAAAGTAGTTTCTGGAGGAAATGAATCTTTATCGCTAAACAGTTAAAATTAAGATAAGAAGCAAAGAATTACTAGATGTATTTTTTCAGTTCCTTTCGTTTGCTGCCATTATTTAAGTATATGAAATTTTAAGTTGATCTGATATCCCATACAATATCATAATTACCATCGTCGGATACCCACGGTTGATTAATATGTAACATAACATAACTGTTAATGGTTCCGCCGTAGGTATCCGACGATGCATACTTACTAGCATCATTTGAATGAATTTTGTTCCTTAATTGATATCACAAATTCTTAACTCTTTAACTTGCATAAACAAAATTTTAGCGAAGTGAACTTCTTTTACTAATCAGAGATTAATGAAACATAAACATGTACATCGGACAAATGATTTTAAACGTTAAATGTTTATAACATGTTTTTGACCAAATCACCATTCTCCCAAATGAGCCTTGCATCAAAGAGAAAATTCAAGTGGTCAGACGGACCAGTGGCTTTTAAAATTAGGTGGTCCTTGCCAAAATCAGGTGGTCTTGGACCAACGGACCACCGCTAATGTCGAGGCCTGACTAGATCACTTGTCAATAGCAATAATAAGATAGCCCTTTTTTGATACAACAGTAGACAAAAATTTGGAATTAACAAACAATGCTTCATATATTATGAAAACAAAAGAACCACTAAGGTCTGGGAATATACGCCTAACTGAAAATATGATCAAGAAATCAAAATTAATGTTACGGTAAGGGAATAGACCCATTCACACAACATGACCAAAAAATGTCTTATCTTAATAATTCTTTCATACTTATTTACCCCAAAATCACCTTTGACCCTATGTGCATAATTCTTAAAACTTTTGTAATTAAAGAGTAAAAACATTCAAAATATCTTTATTATAGTTGTCAACATTAGGTGACCCCAGTTGTATGCCAATTTTAACCCAAAGGTTATGATTTATGTAATTTTTGTTAAGGCCCACTTAAACCAATGCTATTGACAAATAACTAAACTTTTGACATTGTAGTTTCGCACATACAACTTGAATGTGCCTTTTTTCTTTGTTTTATAACTAACCCTGGGCCAGGGTCAATATTGATTTCAATATTGATTAATATCAATTTTGTAAAGGTCCACAATGCAATGCTGCATGATAAATATCTAAGCTCTGGGCATTTGTTGTTTCATATAATAAGACTTAAATGTATTATTCAATACAAGTCTATATAAATCAAGGGTCCTTTGGGCTGGGCAAACATTTACTCTATTTACCCTAGGGGCATGATAAATATCAGTTTTGTAGAGGTCTAAAGGCAATACTATATGCAAAATATTTTAGCTCCAGGCATTGAAGTTTCACACAATAAGACTTAAATGTGTTTTCCTGTATAAAGTCTATATAAATCAAGTGGCCAATTATTATCTGAGGAAACCCAACAAAAACAAATGACATACAGGTAGTGTCATCTGGTTGCCATGGCAATGCCCTCTCTGCAGCAACAATCTGCTTGAGATTTTTCCACACCCTCGTCTTCTTACTTCCAGCTGATCCAATACTTGAATGCTGCAATTAGATATTTATCTCATAAGTCAACTGATGTCAAAGTCCAAATCTCTACATGTAAAAAAGTCACTTGTTGCTATGAAAAATCAGGTATTGGTATGGAAGTCAGTGGTTACTTTGGAAAGTCACTTGTTCCTATGAAAGTCACTGGTTGCTATGTAACTTGGAAAGTCAGTTGTTTTAATGGAAAGCACAGGTTGCTATGGAAAGCCTACAGTTGCTATGGAAATCACTGGTTATTAAGGATAGTCAATGGTTGGTATGGAAAAAACTGTTTGCTTATTTAATATTGACCTTCACCCAAAGGCTATACTAGTGTAATATCTATATATTTTGTTTTGGTAATTTGAATATTACTATTTTTTTTAAATTCTCTTGCTTTAAATATTTTTCAGTTTTATAATTTCCATTTTATTAATTGTGTAAATTTTTGGTACTTAATTTTTCAAACTTGCCAAATTTACTTTACTATAAAAACTTAGTAAAAGAAGCCATTAAGTCAGCTTGGGTTATTATTGTCTGAAAATGTATGTGCTGGCTTAAATTCTATAAGTGTTAAAACAGCCAAATCTTTAACAATGTAGTTTTATCAACTCTTACTAGAATGACATATCTTAGTAAGCAGTGTCAATCCTTTAAGCAAAATACCAGACCCTTAATTGATTATAACACAAAGATAGGTATGAAACCCTAGTTCCTGTGTTTGTACTGCAATAATCCTTCCTGGGAAAAGAAAGCTGATTTTTATACCAAAAGACAGATTTGAAGTCATTCTTACTTTGGACTTCAGACATTAAACGTGAACAACTGTTTAAAACTGTCTTTTTCATCTTTTCCAGGTATGTGATATTTTTGTATTTTCTAATGTACAATTTAGAGTAATTCAACTAAATATGATATTTAATTTTTCTAAATATTTGTACTTTGTTTATAAAATCATTATGTAATTTCTATCATCTGAATTTTTGCAACTGTGTTATATTTTAATTTCTACTTTTGAAACTATTATATTGTATTTTTTATTAGTATGCATTCTCAAATGTTTTCATATTTAATGAAAATGGTAAAGGATCATAAATGAAACCATTGCTTACCATAATATTAAACTATCTTATAATTACGTGAATTTCTGGCAGGTTGTAAATTCTGTCTTTATAACCTTTTATCTTTGAAAAACTTTGTGTAAATATGTTTTCTTGTTAAATATGTTAAGTTGATTTTTCTAAAATTGAAGATTTAAATATTAAGTGAATTATTACAACAATATTGTAAAGATTACTGTTTCATTTTTTTACAATGTAACAAAAGGACAATAACATTAATAAACACTTTTATATAAGTTTGCAATTTGCAATTTATACTAGTATATAAAGTTGTTTAGTTTAAGTAATGACATTGTACCTTTCACTAGCTAATGCAAGTTATTATATTTTATTAAATGAAAACTTATTATTTTCCCCATTATAATTAAAATACATTTATTGCAGTCTGCAAATATTAAAGTACGTATGTTGTGATATGTTTTTATTATGTTAAAAACTATTATGTATTTCAAATTGTATTTTATATTTGTAACTGTATATATGATATTCTTACTTTGGACTTCAGACATTAAACGTGAACAACTGTTTAAAACTGTCTTTTTCATCTTTTCCAGAACGCTAGCCTAAAGGCATCTCTAACCCTAATTTAAACATAGTATCAAACCCGTCTCTGGAGCTAAGTCACCCCATAAAACCCGGGTGTTAAAAGTTCACTTGAAATCTATGTCTCATGTCAAATATCTAAGCTCAAGTCTTTTTGATTTTGGAGAAGGAGATTTTTAGTGATTGTACTTTTAAATGATATTAACCGTGATGACTCAGATATGCAATGGACCTTGCCATTTGATCAAACTTGGGATAACTACATGCAAACATCTTTTCAGGCAAGTTTCCCAAAATTTAGTGTTGTTTCAGGGGAGATGTCACTTAAATGCTTTGTGGAAGACTGAGGACTGACATCGGACAACATACAATCATAATGCTGTGAACCATTCTAATGTTATAAGCCTTCAAACTACAAAATCACAAGGTCACGTCCTTTCCCCGGGCCTTTCCCTGGGAAAGAAAGCAATGTGATTATGTAAAACATTCAAGTAAGAGGTTCTAACTTATCTAAAGGAAACCTTTATTATAGCTGCTTATGATGTTCTTGTCCTTGCCTTGCACAAAGAGTGTCGTCCTGGCACTTTGGCATTGTAACACATTTAAATCACATTTAAAGTTACAATGAACATATTTTGTATAATATCTTCTAATTCAGGGATATTGTGGCCAGATGCTCTTTCAAGAGGCTGACCCCTTGGGGAATAAGCTTTTCTTTCAAAATGTTTTTAAGATTTATTTAAACAAATACTAGTACAGTAAAAACCCGCTTTACGACCACCCCGTTTTCGAGACCAACCCGCTAATACGAACGATTTTTCCAAGACCCGATTTTTTTATTCTTTATTTTAATGGTCGCTAACCCCGATTTTGAGACCACCCCGTTATTCCATAATACGACCAGTAAATTCAGTCCCATTTCGTAAATTCTGTACATTTGGAAACCCATAAATACGACCGCGGGCACTTTCTCACTTTGATATTGACATGCATGTATATTGCTGAAATCTTTTTGACAGGTAGTGTAAACAACAGTTGTCCTAGTTTTACAACATTTAACGACATACAATTTACGGCAGAGGTCAAGGTTACTTTGTATCAATAATATTGTCGATAATTTCTTTATTTCACACCTTTGATGTCATAACTGGAGGATTAAAACAACAAAATATTGAACAGAAAACTTTCAATAAGTTTTTTAGATGTGTTGCTGCTATCATTATCTCTTTTGTTCCATAATTTAAACAAACATAAACATGATACAATTAGGTTTTTGAAGTTGTTATCGGCGATGAAAACTGTGAAAATAATTAAAGGTTAATTGGTGCTTTGTAGTAAAATGGTGATTTAATTGAGTAAGTCATGTCATTCTTTTAACAAGAATGTAAAAATATGTTTGTGTTAAAAGACATTCATAATACATTTTGTACCTCTAAAGAAGTTTAAAAATTTGATAATGTTAAAAAGAAAAATAAAATAAATGAAAATAAAAAAATAATAGTGTGTGCTTAATATCTTCTCATTTGAAATAGGTTAGCCCTGAATTAAACATGTGTACAGTACATGGTATCCGATAATATATTGCCTGGTTTTCTGTCTGATGAAACTCATTAATGAGACCAACCCGCTATTAAGACCAGATTTGTAAAGTCCCTTCATTGGTCTCATTAGCGAGTTTTTACTGTATTTACTAAATTCACTTTTCTTTTCTTTTCCAGATAGTTAATTTTAACACAAAGTCCACCTTATAATTTATTATTTATCTTCTATTACACATTTAAATCAAACCCAGTTCATAAATTTTCTTCTACTGTATTTATTTTTTATTATCCCATTTTTTTCTGACCTGGACTTAAACTTAAACTGACTTAACTTTCCCCAAGTCTGTATATCCAAAATTCTATCCTGCCCCTTTTTGAATTTATCCAATCAAATTGTATATTTCATATATTTTCTCTGTCTATCATAACAAATATATCATTATCAAATAAGCTTTTTGACCAGCTTCTATTTTCCACATTAAAGGATTTAACCTCTATGTGATGTTTCTTTGTGAAGCTGAAGGAAGCAGACCAAGACTAATTTTCAGTCTATCCCCCTCAGCTTTTCAAAGGACCAAAATATGTTGTTACATAACATATTAGTTTTGATCATAAAAATAGTACAAAATATTGCCTGGCTACAAAATGATTAAAATGTCATGATATAAATATTTACTTTACATGAATGTTCAAATTAAATTAAACAGATTTGATATTCAAACTGTTAGTTTTTTCAAAGGGTACCTGGTAGATGCTTTATAATCTTTTTTATTAAAAACATTAATCTACCATATAATATGTAACGCTCTAAAGGCCAATCAAGTCCCAACAACAGCTGTCTGTAGGACACCACACCTGACTATTCTAAGTGCTTGATAGTACTCATAGAAGTGTATAAAATAAGTCAACTTGTTTCAAAACTAGATGGAATAGGTGGTACCAAATCATTAACATAGAAAGTCAAAAAATGGGCTTATACTGTCAAAATGCTTGATAGAGTAACTTCCTCCCGTCTACTTGTTGAGGACATGATGGTGAACAAGTGTAAAAAGTTTCAATGCCAAATGGACCTTGAAAATATCTGAGGTAAGCAAACTATAATGTAAATTTTGAGTCAAAAAGGTGTCATAATTCTGCCAAAATGCTTGAAAGAGTTACCTCCTCCTGTTTCCCTGGAACATGCTATACCCGGTATATTGTCTATTCATATATTGGAAGATATAATGAAAAATTAGAAAATATTTTTAATCATTGGCATGGCCAAAAAACAAGTCATGTCCCCATCCACCCTAGACTACATGAGGTTTTATACATGTTCATTAAATGTCTAGCATATTTCTTTGTCTGCAGTTACAAAGATTTCAATCAATATAATTAGTTACAAGAGGATGAATCTTTCTGCTATGTAAAATAAGAATTATCAATTAATAAACACCTACACAAGCTGTATAAATTATTAATGCCTTCACAATATACAAGAAAATCTACTGTCACTCATATTTTAAAATCTCTCTCCAAATAAATTTTGTCATCATCAATTATTCCTCTTAATTAATTATTTTAAAATACTAACAAAACACTAAAATGTCAGTCTCTATGGCATTTCCATAATATGATCCTTTTTTCAAAAGGGCGTATAAAAATAAAGAAAGATAAGGTTTAAAACTATGGCAACTGTAGGGATGGAACCACGGAATTCTCAGATATTAGGCAATCACTCAAAAGACTGTGTTATTGTGGATGTGATGACGACCTTTACATTAAAGCTGGTGTGACTTTTCAAAACATTAGTTATATACCCCATATTAATACTCTTAAAGTACACGGACTGAGCAAAGTGGAATTGAAAATTTAGCCCATTACCGCATGAGCATACTTATCAAACTTGGCACAAATGTTAACTGGACCATAGCCTTTGTAACAGCTTGCTCAATCTAATCTTAAATTTCCTGTTACCATTGCAATGAGGGGGACATATCAAATTGCCATAAGTCACTATTTTGCATTGACTTTTTCCATCAAAACTGATTTTCAAAGTCCTGTAACTTCTCAATGGATTGAGATAGAGTCAAAGGCTTTTCATGACCTTAAGATTGACCTGTGGCCTATTTTAGCCCATCATTAGTAAGAAGAGGCACATCCCTCCTCTGGCACCCCCTGATGTAAGGTCAAGGTCATTAAAAAGCCAAGGTTAATATGGGTTTAATATACATAAAGTTCTTATCCTAAAGAATGCTCTGTTATAATATGAAGTCAATCCATTCAATAATAACAAAGTTACAGACAGTTACAGCCAAAAAAATGAAAATTTCAATAATTTGACTTTTAAAGTCAAGGTCATTTATAGGTGAAGGTCAAGGTCTGTCTGGTTAACTTAAAGGGCTATCATAAAAGATTATTATGTTCAAGATTAGACAATCCATTCAAAAATTACAAAGTTAGAGTCAATAATAGCCAGAAACAAGCAAATTTTGACTTTTGACCTTGAAGGTCAGGTCTTTTATGGATGAAGGTCAAGGTTAGTCTGGTATACTGAAAGGTCTTGTCCCAATGGTTGTTGTGGCCAAGTATGAAGACAATACACCAAGAACTTAAAAAAGTTATGATCAAGGTACAAGTTTGCAGAAGGCAACGGCAAAGCCAACACAACTGTAACAATACTGGGATCCTACATATTACCGGACAAAATATGATGTTTTTTCGCTGTAACTTTTATTTAAAATAATAAAAAAGAATGAAATTTTACCCAAATAATTGTGAGTTCTTAATATACGTAAGCATTTCTTTATCAAACATAAAATTATACATTTAACCGTAGAAAAGTGTCTTTAAAGTAGGGCCTTAAAAGAGGGAAAAATCGTGTAAACAACTCAATTTACCGGACATTGTGTTTCAAAATTTTTTGAAGTCTTAAATTGAAACTAAGAAAGGAAACTACGACTATTGAATGGCAAAGTTAAGATGCTGGAAAAACCCAGTATGTCACTAAAATAGACACGGCAGTCATGCTTGTTAAGAAGAGGCCAATGTAGGGGTGTAATTGAAATTAACACTATTAACTCAATTAACGTATTGATTCTTCATGATCCTTAAATGATCCTTAAACGTATGACACATTTTGATATTCAAATGTAATTCTGTTCTTTCTCATACAGTTTCCTTTTGGTCATCATGTAGCATGTTGCAAAAGCCATAAAGTCTATTTTTTGTACATTCCATGTAGAGTTTCCTCCCATGGGCGTAACCCGTTTCCGTATATGTTTTTTAATTTGCATTTCTTTGTAAAAGACAACAACGAGATTTTGTTTAAACGAAATTTAAAATTACTTTTTATCATTAAAATATGTTACGATTGTCTCCTGAGATAACGTTGAGAAGAATTAAAAGTAAAACCTATCTAAAATAACCCATTAAGGGCCTCAATATTCGGGAATGCGCAGAACAGATTATTCCCCCGCATGACCAGGTCATGGAATAACTAGTTAACATAAGGGCATGTTAGTAAATAAAGAACTGAATCAACAAAATTAACCTGAGAGTGGTTTTGTTGTTATTTACTTTGAAATAGAAAGTGTTTGTACGATTAGGACCGGATGATTTTTTTAATCGAAGCAAAGTTAAAGCCTTATTTGACAGGAATAGATTTTGTCCGGTAAACTGATTGTCCGGTAAACATGTAGGATCCCAGTACCTCTACTTAAAAAAAAAAGTTGAGCTAACAAAAATTGTATAGAAAAAATTCCCTATAATTATTAAATAACCCAAAATAAAGGACATTGACTACAGTAACCATAAACAGTAAATCAATGGTACAAAGGAAATAACTCTTATAATTTATACAATACTATTATTTCTAGCAATATGACTTTGGACCACCAACTTAACTGTATATTTAAAGGAAAATCAATAAACATGTATTTCTTTTTTAAATTATTACTCAATGGCAAACCTAAACTTCTGTATAAACCAAAGATAATAACTTAACAATAGGAAATAATAATAGGTATGGTGCAGAATTATCTGCACAGCTTGACACTTCAGGGGGCAGGGGAGGGACATAAACTATGGCCTCAGTGAAATTTATTTATGCCTACATCAGATATTGTTGTAATTCCAGGGCTGTTGGTAACTCATTTTCTGTAAATGAACTCAGAAGTTAGTATTAGTGTAAATAAAATAACAAGAGGGCCATGATGGCCCTGAGGTCGCTCACCTGTATATAGTCCCCCCCCCACCCCCGGGCCAATTTTTACCCAAGGGCTTTTATTTGTTTATTTGAACTGACTTGGTAGACACCTATAAGAAGATGTTTCATGCTAAACATCTAAGTTCTAACTCATTGGGTTTTTTAAAAGAAGATTTTTAAAGTTTTTACTATACACATATAGTTAAAAACAATGACACCCCTGGGGCAGGGCCAGTTTTGACCCCAGGGCTTTAATTTGAACAAACTTTGTAGATATTTACTTAAAGATGTTTCATGCTTAATATCTAAACTCTAGCTATTTGGGTTTTTTCAAAGAAGATTTTTAAGTTTTTGCTATACACATATAAAGAAAATCAATGACCCCCCCCCCCCCGGGCAGGGCCAGTTTTGACCCCAGGGCTTTTATTTAAACATACTTGGTAGACACCCATTAGAACATGTTTCATGCTAAATATCTTAGCTCTAGTTCTTTGAGTTCTTTAAAAGAAGATTTTTTAAAGTTTTTACTATATGCATATAGGGAAAATCAATGACCCCCTGGGGCGGGGCCAATTTTGACCCCAGGGCTTTTATTTGAACAAACTTGGTAGACACTCATTAGAACATGTTTCATGCTAAATATCTTAGCTCTAGCTCTTTGGGTTCTTTAAAAGAAGATTTTTTAAGTTTTTACTATATGCATATAGGGAAAATCTATGACCCCCTGGGGCGGGGTAAATTTTGACCCCAGGGCTTTTATTTGAACAAACTTGGTAGACATTCACTAGAAGATGTTTTATGCCAAATATCTAAGCACTAGCTCTTATGGTTCTTTAAAAGAAGATTTTTTAAGTTTTTACTATATGCATATAGGGAAAATCAATGACCCCCGGGGCGGGGCCAATTTTGACCCCAGGGCTTTTATTTGAACAAACTTGGTAAACACTCACTAGAAGATGTTTCATGCCTAATATCTTAGCTCTAGCTATTTGGGTTCTTTAAAAGAAGATTTTTTAAGTTTTTACTATATGCATATAGGGAAAATCAATGACCCCCTGGGACGGGGCCAATTTTGACCCCAGGGCTTTTATTTGAACAAACTTGGTAGACATTCACTAGAAGATGTTTCATGCTAAATATCTAAGCTCTAGCTCTTATGGTTCTTTAAAAGAAGATTTTTTAAGTTTTTACTATATGCATATAGGGAAAATCAATGACCCCCTGGGGCGGGGCCAATTTTGACCCCAGGGCTTTTATTTGAACAAACTTGGTAGACACTCACTAGAAGATGTTTCATGCCAAATATCTAAGCTCTAGCTCTTAGGGTTGTTTAAAAGAAGATATTTAAAGATTTTTCTTTCGGTTGCCATGGCAACCAGAGTTCTGCATGGAATTAAATTCTTTGAACAATTTTTAAAGGTGACCACTAAAGGAACATTCCTGTGAAGTTTGGATGAAATTGGCTCAATGGTTTATGAGGAGATGTCATTTAAAGCAAAAGTTTACGGGCAGACGACGGACGGACGCCGGACGAAAAGCGATCACAAAAGCTCACCCTGTCACTTTATGACAGGTGAGCTAAAAATTGATTAGCCAATAAAGTAATGTTTCAGTGAGTTTGTATGTAGCTGAAATCACCAAATACAGTAAAGGCAGCAAGCAGGACTTTATATAAACTGTAGACATAAGAATGTCATTTTACCACTGTTGGTTGACAGATACAAATCTTTAGCATCCCAATACAAATGTATATGCAATGTGTCTATTTACTCTAATGGTTATTTGTATTTCTTTATAAAATGCATACATGTATCAATCATTCAATAAAACAATACAAAAAGCTAACATGTACATATGTCTTAAAGACAATCTTACCACAAAATTTGGGTTTTTAAAAACTGGTGCTTTTTCTGTTGTATTACTTGCAGTAATGTTTACTGGACTGTCATGTGACTCATCTGTGTCTACAAAACTCCCAATCACAAGCTCCTGTTCTACACTGATCACATCTGTCTCAGTCTAGTGAATGTAAAAAAAACAGTGTTTTAATGCACCTCCATATTTATTTTCATGAAAATCTATGCAATACTTTAAAAAGTAAAAGAATATCAAGAATTCAAATTATTTTCTTGAAAAACACATACAACAAACTTTATAAAAATGAAGCAAATAGAGCTATTTTATTAAACTGCCCGAGTGTCACATGGTAGACCATCACTACATCATCACTCTATTGTAGTTTTTATTATCCCCCCGCCGATTGAAATGGTCTTTGTCCGTCTGTCCTTCCGTCCGACATTTTTGTCCGGAGCATATCTCAAAAAGTATTTGAGGTATCAACTTGAAACTTAATAGGTGGATAGACCTCATTGAGGAGGAGTGCAGTGCACAAGAATGATAACTCTACGCTGCATAATTTTTTAGTTATTGCCCTTTGTTATTTTTCAAAATTAATTTTTGTCCAGAGCACTCAAAAAGCCTTTGAGATATCAACATGAAACTTCAAAGGTGCATAGATCACACTCAGGAGGTATGCAGTGCACAAGAATAATAACTCTACCTTTCATAATTTTTGAGTTATTGCCCTTTGTTATTTTTCATACTTAATTTTTCGCCTGAGTGGAGCATAACTCAAAAGTGTTTGAGATGTCAATATGAAATGTCGTAGGTGGATAGATCTTATTCAGGAGGAATGCTGTGCGCAAGAATGATAACTCTTCCTAGATAACTTTTGGGTTATTGCCCTTTGTTCTTTTTCATACTATTCTGTCTGGAGCTTATCTTAAAAAGTATTTGAGGTATCAACTTGAAACTTCATAGGTGGATAGATTTTACTGAGGAGGGGTGCAGCACACAAGAATGATAACTATACCCTGCATTATTTTTCAGTTATTGCCCTTTGTTATTTTCAGCCATCAGTATTCACATAGGTTTCAAATCTGTAATCACTTCAGCCATCAGTTTTCATTACCAAAAGACTTCTTAAAATTGAATTATTCTGCTCTACTAGTAGGGGTGTAGCAATATGGCAAAAACTGTATTGCAATATATTGCCATTTTGCCGAAGCGTATTGCAATATATTGCAATACGTATTGTCGTGTATATGTTTTGATGTAAAGATGGTGTAACATTATATATTATTATTATATGTATATATTCTTAGTAGAAACTTAATAAAATTGTAAGGAATAAATAGAAAGTAAAGTGTCACACAATTTGATAAACAAAACTAGTCGCGCATGACCTTTTACACCTGGGCCGCTTATGTAAATTATGCGGCCGTTTATTGACTTTTAAGTGTACTAGTTGTCAGATACTTTTATCTTACGTCGGCCTGAATAAAATTCGCCAATTAAATATTTTATGCAAAATTTGTATGAAATTAGAAGGCAAATAATTAAAATTATGATTTTTATAAAATACCGGTTTTCCAAAAATCGTACCACCGTATGAAATTTATTTTTTCATATTGCAATATATCGGTATACCGGCAAACTGTTACACCCATATCTACTACATATACATTCTTCCAATAAGCAAACACCTTCGGCGGGGGATGGCCATGTTGACATTGCTCTAATTGAAATGGTTATAAACCTAAACATTTTTTAAGGGTAATGTATGACTGTAGACCTGTTTGCCCAGCCCTTGATTTCAGTTTGTTTATCTGAATCAAGGTCAGCTTGGCCCTAAAACTAACAGTAACTTGACCCCAGAGTGATCTCAGCCTGATAAAAACTTGGCCTGTTATTATGTTATTGTTCATAATATCTATGCATTACCTGTTTCCTATTTACAAAGAGCATTGCAAGTAATGTTTATAACTCATTTAAACAAATGATGATTTAGATTGCAGATCATTTTTAGCTAATTTTCAGCAACAATTAGATTATTGCAAAGTGATATTAATAATCATAACTTGTAAATAATTAACCCAGAATTTACATCTATTACCAAAAACTCAATTTAATTAAGCAAACATTGATTATCTTCAAAAGTGATTGTTTTGAAAACTTTTGCCAGTACTACATCAAAATTATGGGTAATAAAGCGAGCTTTACGGTAACGCTAGTACCTGCTACAAAGTGATGGTTTTAAAAAACTTTCGTCCCAAGCACTGAATTGACACATCGCAACTTTTCGAATTACAAGATAACGATAAAAGCCGAGATATTCTGATTGAAAACTGAAGCGTAGACTGGTGTCCTGCGCACATATATGGGAACCATAATAGGACAGGGAATCAGAATAAGCGGAAGCAGTGAATAAAATACCAAATGACAATTTTAAAACGGCAAATGTAAAATAAAATGAACAATTATTTTATACGATTTCACCGTAAAAGTAAATCGAGCTCACTTTAAGGCTTTGAATTTTTCATATTATCTGATGACATTCTCCCACTTTTATAACAATATGGACATCTTTACAATAAATAATGAAAAATGAGTGTTACATCCGAAAGTTTGTAGCTATCCGAAATCAAGTAAAGTGCACACAACAAATGAAATAATTTTCAGATACTCTACCTGACAAGAAATACAATTTCACATGCATATATAGTTATACCTTGGTTAAAACAACCGATTTTTTCTTTACTAAGCTTGGACTTGATGTCTGTTTGATATTTTTACTTGTTTTTCGTTGTTTTGAGGGGGTCGCCATATTGGTTGTTTAAATTCTGTTCAGTGACGTTATACGGATACAAGTAGGGGTCCGACAGAATCCAATAGAATTATTCGCTACAAAAATGTACAATAATTCAGTTTAAAGGTCTACACGATTTATTTTCGTCATGTTGAGTTGAAAACTATATCTCAATGAAAACCACTGCTTTAGGCCTAATTGTAATTAATTCAATTAAAAATCTGGAAGAATGTGATCCCTCGGAAGCAATAATCACAATAAAATTACATGGAAATTATTGCAGACTCGGTTTAACCTGGGACAGAAAGATATAAATCTTCAGTCCCAGGTTTAACGTGGGATAATGAAAAATTACAACATCATTCACGCCCCCTAGAACAAAATTGATCGATACTCAATTTTCAGCACTTAAAAGTGCTCGAATCAATGATCCCAAATTGGCAAAAGACCAGAAAAATTATACCAACACTTCAGTGAAGTACGGACAACATTTTATAGTTTGACACCTGCTGTGAAGTATAAAAATCTGGAAGAAAATGATCCCTTGGAATCATTAATCACAACAAAATTACATGAAAGCCGCGTTGAACAAATCAGTGCCAATTAAACTTAAAATTAAACTTATCAGTATCTTATCTAAAGCAAAAAAAAACAAAACAAGGAGTTCGAAAATAAACGAAGGCCCATGCAATAATACTGAAGGTTTGTAATATCTTTATAAGTTTTGTATTGTTTTGTTGTTTAAACAATATTTCTGACTTGAAATGCTTCATATTGATGAGAGGCATTTCATAAAATTCACGTACACTACACGATCAGCTGAGATGTAAAGATATTTTAAGAAAAACCCTTTATATCAAAGGTTCCCTTGCCACCCCCTCCCCCACCCCACGCTTAGAAAAATAGAAGTTGATCAATATGCAATGTGCCGCTTCTTTAATTACAGAAACAAGAGACACTGTATTTCATTTGCTGAAGCGGACTTTGGGGTGATAAGAGAGACGGATAGACTTCTTGAACAAGTCTATGACTTGTCTATGGCCTGTATTGGGTATATGCTTTCATGGAGCTAAATATAAGCTTATATATATGTGATGCTTTCAATTCAATTTCCCTCATTTCCCACAATTTTTTTTTAAAAAAATTGATACATATATATTTAATATATACAGTATGTATGTATATACAGTATGTATCATTTTTTTATTTTTATTGGAAATGAGGGAAATTGAATTAAAAGCATATACTAAATATTAAAACATGTTTCAAATGAAAAATACCGCACTTAACATGGTTTTGAGAGGTAGGAGGTTTGTAGAATGGATAAGAGGGGGGCGGGGGTAGCGACCAATCAACGCACCGAACACCTATAGGTCAGTGGTACTGAATATGATTGAATCCTCATTTTCATCTTTTTTTATTCTGATTATCAGGTTAAGTGTATATAAAATGGAATTCTATTATGATGTAATTTATTCTGTGATGTAAGATAGCAGTGTGATATTTGCTTGCAGTGTGGTATTTGCTTTAATCAATTTTTATCTTATCCATTTTGATATGTGCTTATAAATATTATTTGTTTAACAGATCCACTCATAAATGAACATTGATCTTTTTAATTATCTGTTATAGATCTATATTTATTTTCTTTTATACAGGTTGAAAGTTTGCATTGTTAAAGGATAGTCTGTTATGTCGGAAAATAGTTTTTATAGCTAATGTTATATTATGTTGTTTTTTTAACCGACTATAAATAAAGATTATTCTATTTTACCTTAAAGATTATTGGCTGTCTTTGGTATCAATCAAGAACTCCAAAAAGGCTTTACCAATCTATGTTGTAAATACGTTCACGACCTAATGATGGAATATAGAAGTAATCTCTAGAACATTCTAATAACATTCTCCATGAGAGGATGTTTATCTTAGACTTCTAAGGTTAAATGCAATATAATAAATCCATACTAAATGTTCCTATACATGACACTTATATTTCATGTTTTCGATAAGTTATAAATGTAATCTGGAAAATATATAGTAAAAGTGCATTAAAAATATTCAGTAAATACCATTATGTCGAACATTGACAATATATCATGTGCTTATTAATAAGTTAACATTGTGTATGCAGGTTGTTATAATTCTATATAATGTAACTCTATATTTAATGTATGACATTGTGTATGACATGCTTTTCGTGCATATAATCAGTAATCGTATGTTATTATCTTATTTTCTCATGTAAATGTGTTAATTAATTGTTATATCAGAAACTGAAAAGTGGAATAAAAGATTATATATATATATCAATGTTCTTACTTCCTCCCTCTGTAATTTCAAACCGACACATTGACGGCGCCATTTTGTTTGAAAAATCTGATAAATAAAAACAACTTTTTGTTTTATTATGTTTGAAAACTATCTAGTATGATAGAAAATGGTCTAACTAAGAAAATGAATCCGAACATAAATATCTTTAATTCAGTCATTAACGCTGTACAGACGTTTAAGGTGTTGTTTACGTGACGTCAAAATGTAGCACCAATCAGCTCAAAAACAATCAAAACAAGAACGCTATTTCAATGTCGCAAACCAGTTAAATTTCAAATTAAATTTTATTTCACTATAAATATTTAGTATTTCACTTGAAAAATATAAAGTGAAATAAAATAAACACAGAAAAATGTTATCAACGTTTTCAAAATTCATTGTAATAATACTCAAAGCGTTTCTACAACTTAACGACAGTTGTTTGTTTCTCAATCGACTTGAACGTCTTAGGCGAAAACAAATTTAACCAACACATATTAGTCCAACTGTTTTTTTTTTCTTGACGTGTTAGAATGGATATATATATTAATACTTCGTGCATTATTGTATAAAAATGCATGGTTTTCGTTCAAAAACGTTTTAATCAATCACGAAGACATATCGGCCTTCATGATTATATTCCTACGCATTTGAACTCAAATTGTGCACTATTCTACAACAATCACTCAGAATTGATATATGTTTCCTAAGTATTTAAAAACTTAACTATCTGTTGAAAAATATCATGTTATTTCTTTAAAGTTTTTGAGTTTACCATACACTGCGCTGAGATCAAACATATATATTATCAATGTGGTTTGAGCAGAGTAAAACGCAAAACAAAGACATTGATACTAAACCACATGTACACTTTTTATCTGTCCATACGAACGTGAAGAATAGACCTTAGCTCGCGTCAATCGCTGGCTATAACAGCTAACACTGCAAACTCCGAGAGTTATTTGGATTCACAACTAGCAGTTCATACGAGCGAAAAAGAAACGTACCGGAAAGTTGATATGAAAGCCGTTACTTGTCATACTGGTCAACGTGGTACTTGGACAGCGCAAGAGAGCACGAGAAAGGAATTTATTTTACATAGATCAGTTAGGGCAATTAAAACAAAAATATATACAGAAGATATCTAAAAAATATACTCGGAAATAAATGGAAAATAGTACTATATTTGGCAAATTTAATTTTGGGTCATTTGTTTACAATTTAAATAACTATTTTGGTAAAATGGAAAGAGCAAATGATAAAAAAAAATCACACAAGTTAGTTTATCTCAAAGAAATATTTCCAGTCTCATCATGTCAAAAATCTTTCAGTGGAATCCCTTTGAAATATATGTATTTGATCTTATCGTCTGCTAAAGCTTAAAGGGTTCGTTGTGATCAGCTCAATTGACTTATACACAAATAGACAAGTTGACAAAACTTTTTTATATACTAGTGTATAATTTTATGCTAGTGAAAAACAATAATAAGGAAACAGCTAGGGCAGCGTTTTACTAACGTACTTACGCCTAAGATATGTGTAAGTTATAACTTACGTCTGATTTTTTTACGAAAAAGCGTTTTACTAAAAATTTGCGTAGGTAGGAATTTCGTAAGTTTTTATGACCGCCTCCGTGGTCGAGGGGTTAGAGTCGATGACTTCTAATCCAGTTACCTCTCTGGCGTGGGTTCGATCCCCGGGTGATGCTTTGGTAGTTTAGCGTGGAGGAAGGTAGTCTAGTACTGGTGTAACTGTCCAGGAACGATGGTTAGGAAACTACCCGCCTATATGACTGAAATACTGTTGGAAAAAGGCGTAAAATGAAACAAACAAACAAACAAACGTAAAGTAACGCTTACAATTTGTTGACTTAAAACTAACGTAAGTAAGACTGACATCATCTATGAATAAAGGCAGAGAAGGTAAGCGAGAATTTTAGAGACGGATGTGATTGGTAATATATTTTAATGGTGAAAGCGGCTCTTGAAAAGTAAAGTCTAAGTAAGGAAAGGATAATGTAGCTTTACGAACTTTAATTATATTAAGTAAAAACATATACGAATATGAAAGTCGTCCTATCAGCTTACAGTCTTTTATCTTCTTCTCCAAAAATATACTGGTATTCCATACCGCCCTTAATCGTGGTTGACCTCGACCCAAAGTATTATAAATCAGTTATTACTTTAAGCGTTTTATATTATTTTACTTTCATGAGCTTTTGATGCTGATTTACATTAAAATGTATTGAGAATTTTATAAATGACATATAATATTGACTGAAGCTCAGTAAAGTCTTTCATTACAGACTTTTAAATGAAATACATGTATTGAGAAATTTTGATGAAATAAATGCGTATTTTCATTTACGTATTTTCACTGCTGTGAAGCATATTTTCGTATTTTCACTGCAGTGAAACATATTTTCCATATTTTCACAGGTGTCTTGCATGGCTTAGTTCAGCTTAATTACAAAATTTAAGGGAAAGTTTTTTTAAATGTAAAAAATGTATATAATAAACAGAAAATTCAAGTTTTTAATATAAATACAGGATTTATTTTCATCTTGTGGTATGAAAAATAGCATATATCACTCGTGGCTAACGTCACCCATGAAATATTATTTTCATATCACTCGATGAAAATAAATCCTGAATTTATAGTTAAAACTTGAATACCCTCTATATATATGTTCATTAAATAGTAACTATGATTCGCAAATGTTTAAAAAATCTGTTGTAGTTGTTTTTTATTTGCAAATATTCAGA